ATTTTGTTGAGAATCCTTTGCAGGCAATGACTGCCTTAAGTCTGGAACTCATGGACATCACCAGAGATTGGGTTTCCTCCTTTGTGACGCTTTGCCAGGTCTTTAAGGCAGGTGACTTCAGTTGTTGCTTGTTTTTGGGTCTTTCTGCCTTTAGTTTTGTCTTCAGAAAGAGAAATGCATGCTCAATCGGGTTGAGTTTAGGAGATTGACTTGGCCATTGCAGAATATTTCACTTTTTTCCTTCAAAAACTCCTGGGTTGCTTTTGCTGTATGTTTTGGGTCATCGTCCAATTGTACTATGAAGCGCCGCCCAATCAACTTTGCTCCATTTGACTTAATCAAATCATTCAGTCACTTGTGTATCCCTGTACACTTCAGAATTCATCTGGCTGCTTCTGTCCTCTTTCACATCATCACTAAACATCAGTAACCAGTGCCACTGGAAGCCATGCATGCTCATGCCATCACACTGCTCCACCATGATTCACAGGTAATGTTGTATGCTTTGGATCATGAGCTGTTCCAAGCCTTCACCATAAGTTTTTCTTCCTGTCATTCTGGTACAGGTTGATCTTAATTTCAGGCATCCAAAGAATGATTTTCCAGAAGTGTTCTGGCTTTTTAAAAATATTTTTTTGGCAAAGTCTAATCTGGCATTGTTTGCACCTTGTGGTGAACCCTCTGTATTTGCTCTCGTGAAGTCTTCTCTTGATTGTAGACTTTGAAAGTGACACGCCTACCTCCTGGAGAGTGTTCTTCACTTGGCTGGATGTTGTGAAAGGGATCCTCCGATCATCCACCACTGTTGTCCTCCGTGGATGTCCAAGCCTTTTTATGTTGCTGAGCTCACTAGTGCATTATTTTTCTCTCAGAATGTACCAAACTGTTGATCTGGCCGCTCCTAATGTTCCTGCTATCTCTCTGTGTGGTCAGTGTGTGTCTTAAGCATCGACTCCAACTCATCCTCACTGCTCCCCAAGACGTTCAATCCGTTAACCTCCACCAGCCTGAAACAGACACCCACATTCTCAGAACAACAACAACACTGACGGCAGTGCTAACGGGCACCATGTACCTATTTTATAAAGGGACCATTGGGTACTATCACTTTTTACCAAATTAGCAGTTTCTTAACAAAAGTGTCAAAAGTTATACAGTTTTTGATAAAGGGAGAACACAAAATCCAAATCTTGGCAGCTTTGACATCTTGATAGGTCAGTTTTAAAGACATGAAACGCACATACATACATCAATATATATTTTATATATGTGTGTGTATCATGCATGCTCAATCGGGTTGAGTTTAGGAGATTGACTTGGCCATTGCAGAATATTTCACTTTTTTCCTTCAAAAACTCCTGGGTTGCTTTTGCTGTATGTTTTGGGTCATCGTCCAATTGTACTATGAAGCGCCGCCCAATCAACTTTGCTCCATTTGACTTAATCAAATCATTCAGTCACTTGTGTATCCCTGTACACTTCAGAATTCATCTGGCTGCTTCTGTCCTCTTTCACATCATCACTAAACATCAGTAACCAGTGCCACTGGAAGCCATGCATGCTCATGCCATCACACTGCTCCACCATGATTCACAGGTAATGTTGTATGCTTTGGATCATGAGCTGTTCCAAGCCTTCACCATAAGTTTTTCTTCCTGTCATTCTGGTACAGGTTGATCTTAATTTCAGGCATCCAAAGAATGATTTTCCAGAAGTGTTCTGGCTTTTTAAAAATATTTTTTTGGCAAAGTCTAATCTGGCCTTGTTTGCACCTTGTGGTGAACCCTCTGTATTTGCTCTCGTGAAGTCTTGATTGTAGACTTTGACAGCGACACGTCTACCTCCTGGAGAGTGTTCTTCACTTGGCTGGATGTTGTGAAAGGGATCCTCCGATCATCCACCACTGTTGTCCTCCGTGGATGTCCAAGCCTTTTTATGTTGCTGAGCTCACTAGTGCATTATTTTTCTCTCAGAATGTACCAAACTGTTGATTTGGCCACTCCTAATGTTCCTGCTATCTCTCTAATGGATTTGTTTTGTTTTTGAAGTCTAACAATTGTCTGTTTCACTTGCATGGAGAGCTCCTTTGACTGCATGAAGTGGGTTCAGAGCAACAGCTTTCGGATGCAAATGTCACACTTAGAATCAACTCCAGGCATTTTACCTGCTTAACTGATGTAGAAATAATGAAAGACTAGTCCACGTCTGTCCATGAAACAGCTCCCTTCCTCTGTTCCTCGTCCAATACTTAATTGTGTTTATGTACATGTGTTTGCATGTATATAGTTATGCGTTCTGTAAAAAAACTAGCTCACAAATGGAATATTTAAACTGCATGGCCATGTATTATTCATGTTTTTATCTGTTCCTTGTGCGTAGTCGTCCAAGTTTTACATTTCAGTGTTTTCCTGTTATGCTCCCTGTCTCCTACAAATTTCCATAGCAACAGGGGGGAAAAAAACAAAAGCTGATGGAACCTCTGTGATCCTCTCTGTTCTTAAAGGCTGGAAAATTTGGGATGTCCCTTGGCATGTTTTATGAAAGGCAGATTAGAAGCTTAATTCATCAAAACATCTACTGCACTAAAATTACCTCTTTGATCTCACATTCTTTCACATTTCAGTTGTTTTTAAGACTATGGCCCAAAGGTTATGGTTGGTGGAAAGAATAGATCACCCAAAAATGGTGTTCCAGTTTTCATTTTTGGGTGAATTGTTCCTTTAAAGGTTTCTGTAACATTTTGGTGCAGGTAAAGAAAAGCTTGAAAACATGCTAAAAAAATTAATAATATAGTTTTAAACATTCATTAAAATATGTTTTTTAAATCAATTGTGCTGACAATTACCTGTCATTCAGGCAGAGATTAGCACCCCCAGTATGTACCACCATCAGACCCTGGCCCTCTACCCAGTGCGCAGAGAAACCGTAATGACCGTCTGGGTCTGCTTTCACTTGGGTGGCCACCAGCATGACAGGAGACTGCAAAGAGACCAGCTGAGTCAGAGTAGGGCTCTTCCTCTCGGCTTTCTCCTGCAGGAAAAGAAAAAAAAAACTGTTGAACAAGCATCAAAAGCAGTGAATAGCTGGCGGCTCACCTCAATGAGACACTGCTCTCATTTTATAGTAACAGAAGTGGAGAGCCAAAGGATCTGTCCTTGAACCAACACTTTTAAAAGTGTAAAGTGTTAAAGCTGACAGCCTCCATCGTCTGACTGCTGTAGAGAAAACGAGTTTCATTATTTGTGGAGTAAGCGGGATTTAAAATTAAGTTGTCATCACACATACTAATGGCGTGTGAATTAGGAGAGAACATTCCATAAATTGAAAAAAAAATGGGTGTAGAAATAATTTCCAGTGAAAATTTGCTAGCAAATTTCACAAACAATTACAAAAGTAAACACATTGAATTTAATGTGAAATTTTGAAATAGAAAATTTTTCATTTATGGTAAAACATACTCATACGTACAACTTCAAACATTATTATTACAGTGTACTCATTAAACTCTTTTTTGTATTATTTTCTGACCTTTTTTCAGACTTATCTGATTCTTATAAGGCATAAAACAGGTCAAATGTAATATATTTAAAATACAGTATAAATGTATATACAAAATGAGCTGTAAAACAGGTCACTGAAGGGGCCAAAACGTGTCATTACTCATGATGACTAATGAGTCCATCACTGGTAAACATGCAGGATCACATAAACCCACACCCCCAAACCAATAGCTGAGACAGAGACTGAATAAAGGAAATGAGTGAAAAGATAGATGCAGAGTGATCAGATTTCTCTGAACATGCAGCAGAAAGCCGAGGTGAGGGCTCGAGTCTCCTAGCGTGTGAAAGCCCTGCGGCCAAGGCTACTGAGCCTCTCCCCAGACAAGGGCACCAGACGGCTCGCTCACACAGGAAACCCCCCTGCAGAAATCCTTAGGAGCCCTTATCACCCCACTGTTTGGATTCCCTAGGGCAGGCCACATAGCTTGGGCCTCACTCAATTATTTAAGAGAGGTAGCAAAAGGGCAGGTACTTAAGAATTAATCATTTTGGTCAACTTTCATTTGCTCGTATTGTCATCCTGTGAGGTGAGGGAATAGCTACTGGCCACAGAGCAAACAGAAACAAGAGCAAGCTGAACAATGGAAATACAGAGTATAACTTGGCAACTGTCTTTTAAACCGTAGAGGATTGGGAGGTGCTGCGCGAAGAACAATCGGTTGAGAAACGGGCACACCTTCAGAAATCCCCTAACTCTTATGAGATGGGAGAGGAAGCCGTGCCAAGCCCCGGATTGTAAGATTGTGTTTCGCATGAGAAAGGCTTCCAGACTCGGTTAGAAAAGCGTGGCTGGTATTAATGATATAAGTGAGGCACTGTCAGTTACAATAACAGATTCGCAGGGCCCCAGAGTGTAGTGTTGCATGCAGTAAAATGGCAACCTCAAGATGGACTATAAATCCCTAAGAGAGCCAAATGCTGCCACAACTATTAGCCACTGGGCCTCTTAGCCGCCAGTGCAGCTCAACACGGTGACCGCCAAGACATCGGGAAGAGGGAACAATCAAAGTGAGCCCAACTACTGGGAGCTCTCGTGCTTGGCCACAATCGGAGTATCTCGAGTCTCGACCACATTTCCCATGAGAATAGTGAAACCTAATCCGAGTCTGCAACCACGACTGCATCTCTGGCCTGAAGGCCAGTGTATTGCAATTGAAATAAAAAAGAGAAGATTGGAAAAGGTTTGGGCCATATTATTTAGAGGGGTTTTCCCCTAAATCCCTGTATCTTAGTTTGAGACCCAACGTTTGCTGCTACGTTACTTTTCGCTCTATTTCAACAACTCCTCCCCACCTTCTTCCTGTCTTTTCTGATGCACTGCAGTCGCGACGGATCGTGGAGATTAGAGGCGATGATTAAATATTTCCTTATTGTCAGATAATCTAGGGAAAATAAATGGCAGCCTGCTCCTTATTAGGGCCTAGGCTTGTATTAGTTCCCAGACTGCTCTGTGTCCTGACCTGTGCCTTTCCCCTGATTAGGTCATATGATAAACATTAGCGCCACTGCCTCTTTCCCACCAGCTCAGCACCTAAAGACTGTGGCCTGAGGGCGGCAACGTGACACGCTCTTTTCTTGCAAAGCCCCGGTCGGCATGTGTCCTTTCATGGCACCTCGTTAGGTCTCTACCAGTGAGATGAAAGAGCCTTTTAGAGGACGGAGGTGGGAAAGAATCACAGGTACGGCCACGACATGGATAGTTTTACACTAGCGTTTCATGTCATCCTGGCTTTTGAAAAATGAGTGGCGTTGGTGCCAATGATTCAATGTTGTGGTGACTATCATTGTGAAATGACAATCAATTTGCTTCCCATGTAGATTTGTTTAAAAAGTTTGAAAGATGGCAAAAGGAAAAACAGAGGTAACTTATATAATCTGACTTATACTCATGTCGATTAACTGTGTTAATTTTCCCCCCAAATGTTTTTGTATGTCCAACAAAGTGCTTGCATATTGGGAAAAGCCAAGACTGTAATGCTCACATTAGTACCATATGTTCAGCCTCATTAAAATGTGGTCTAAAATAATAACTACTGGCCTGCATTCACATGTCAGCACTATATCATTTCATACTGCACCAGGAAACACTGAAAACCTTGAGAAAATAGATCGGGGGTTCCAGTCTCACCTTGGCCTGCATCTTCTCCAGAACTTCACGTAGGTGAGCCACCTGTCGATTGAGGTGGACTAGTGTGATCTCGTCTTTAAACACCTGGCAGTTTAGCCTCATCTTCTCCAGAAGTCGGACCTCTGATGGCCTGAGGAGTAAACAAACACAAGTTGCTCCCTTGAGCTCTCTTAAAGGAATAGTTCCCCTAAAAATGTCAATTCTGTCAGGACCACTATCATCAATATAACTTAATAGCTGCTGAATAATGACTGAAGGGACCTTATGAAGGGAATTATGGTTGGTGTCGTGATTAGGGATGGGTATCGAAACTCGGTATTTAATCGGTCCCGGGGCTAAATTCTGAAAGACTGGAGTATCGATAAGCTCTGACGTTAACGGCTCTGCTGTCAGTACTGGAGAAATTAATAAAACACACATACATTTATTATTGCTATATATACATTATCTTGCAAATTCTATATCACCAGAGTCGCCAGCTGTTTTTCAAACATTTGTCTAGGATGCATTTTTGCTATTCGGCAATTCAGAAGCGAGATCGCGCTCACGCGGAGGAGCGTCAGCACGCGCAACATGAAAGCCCTGTTTAATTATGATAGAAGAGAGAACTAAACATTCAAACATCTGCATACACTTTAGGCCTGTGGCTGTTTTATTAAGCTAATTTTGTTTTTTTTATTTCGATTTTGGCTTCTAAGGATTATACAAAAGAAGACATGAGGTAAAGCTATTAAAAACTAGCTGCGTTTCGTCTTGCGCAACTTCTTTCCCTTCATAGCGGTGCGCATTCGTTCCTACCTAAAACCCAAACTTAACGTCAGAATCAGCTCAATCGGCGATTGTTGTAAGATGCCATCTTTACTGTTGCTAAATTGCGGGGAATACCGTTAAAGTACCGAATCGATAAGCAGTATCGGTAAGAGTAGTAATACCGTTAAAACCTTAACGATACCCATCCCTAGTCGTGATCCTATAGGTAGACGTGGATCAGCTGAGTATCAGCTGAGTATGCGAGCTTGACTAACATGGCCTGCCAGAACTATCGCTACGCTCCATTTCTGAGAATTTTTATCACCATAATGACTTAAATTTTGGTCTGTTCTTCACACAAAGCTACTGTACGGCTTCAGAAGACTTGGAATATAGCGCACAAGTTATATGAACCAGTTTTATGACACGTTTATTGTTTCAAGCAGTTTGGACCTTGAAAGTCCCTCTTTACATACAAAAGATTTTTCAATATTCTCCTAAATATTAACCTCTTATATTCAGAAAACAGAAAGCCATAAGGGTTTGGAACAACATGGGAGTAAATTATGACTGAATTTTTATTTTTAGAGAACTATTCCTGTAAACTTTGTCTTGGATTAGGAAACTCATCTGAACAGACTTCCAATGTTCTGTCACTTTATATCAAAGATTAGGCTTTTTTATTATTCTGCGGCTTGATCTTAAATAAATGTAAGCGGTCTAAGCCTCTCATGTTCTCAGACCCAAATATCTTAGATTAATGTCACCCAAAAACCCTGAAACTTTAAAGATTTGTTTGCATTTTGCTGGGGAAATGGTCAAGCACTTGAATGACATAACGTAACAAAAAACAAGAAGCCTTCAACTTAAATGGCTTATCAGGTAATTAATGAGGACTTAGACATATTGATTCATGATGGTATTTTCTCACACCCTTATCCATTCCTGCGTTCAATCTGTTCAGCTCGAAAAGATGTCAGAATAAATCAAAGGCCGTAATGCTGAGAAAAAGCAGGAAACTACTAGGTGAGACCCACACCAGCTTTTTCCTCAAACACCCTCTCTTTATTTGCACACCTCATAAATTAAACAGGTACGGATTCCCATTTTGCAAAGGTAACTGCTTTCATATGATAAGGCTGGTCCTTAAAAAAATCAGCTTTTGTGTTCCATTTTTAAAAAATCATGAAACATCATAATGGTGAGTAAATAATGACAAAATTGTCATTTTGGGGCAAACTATTCCTTTAAACATTGTCAGAACCATGAATATGTTAAGAAATTACATTAAACATTGGCATGATGGGTCCAATCATAAGGTGGATTTGGGAGCAGCTTTCTCAGCACTTCAGGAAATTATGAAAGATTTGTGGACTACCCATTACCCTCATCCAAATGACCTTCAGCACTGATGCCACAGAAAAATAAACTGTAAACCAAGCATTAAAAATCACAGGATTTACTGTACACTCTCTACAAGTAAATTACACTAAGGGCATCCAAAACCAGCTCTGATCATCAGTTCTTCCAGCCTCTCCTTCTGGGAGACGGAACACATCATTATCCATAAAGACCAATGCATTGATGAACAGTTCTTATCCCTTTTCCTGTTCCCTGTGATAATCCCATATAATTACCCAACGGCTTTGTATTAACCTCCAGAACATTCTATTCTGATTTATTCTATTCTATGGTAAGAGCATATACTTACTTATTCTTCTGCACTGGTGCAGTGTTAAGATTGTCCCTGAGTGTTTGAAGGCTCTGTCTTTTCCTCTGCAGATTGTCCTGGGTCTCACTGAGAAGCCTCTTCACTTCAAAGCTGTCTGTTTGCACTGCAACCATCTCCCCCTCCATCTTCTTCAGCTCTGAACAGAAGGCTACCAGACCATGGTAAAGCTCCTGAACCTGGTTATCATACAGACACAGATCAGCTAAAAGCAATAGTGGAAAACAGTTAGATGTCACATTTTTTCCCTTAGGGTAGGTTTATTTTTGAAAGTCTATTTCTGCGTAAGAACATACCTCTAAATTTCGGCTACAAAAAAGCTATTGAACATTTCCACTGCCCAGGAAAAAAAGATGTGGTTCATTGAATACACACAGACCCTGTGATGACATGCTCCAAAACTAGACACAATTCTAAAATATTCGTTTTATGACAAAATTCACAATAATTGTTCTTATTTAAGAGGGTTTTGAATAAGAAACCAAGAAGAAATCCATTACTAGAGAAAAAAGGATTTGCATAATTGGAGTTTTAACTCAAAAAACCTATAGTTCCCCGTGTGACAACCAGCCCCAGTGTTTATTTACAATGGTGAAACAGAAGACAGGATGCATTTACTTGGATGATGACGTTTTGAAGGGAGGCCATCTGTTGATTTAACTCTTGAATCTTCCCAGTGTTGTTTAGCAGATTTTTTCTCTGAATATTGTCAGTGGTACAAATAATGTTGTTATCTGATGAATAAGGACCCGCTTTCTGTGTTTCCTACAAGTTTTGAGAGGCAAAAGTTTAATCTTAAATTAAATAAGTTGATCTCCTAAGACAGTTATGTTTGTGTTTTTACTACATTGAAATACTCAGCTAATACATGCAATTCCGTCTACCTTCCTATACAAGTGAAGCTCCATTAGTCTCGTCTCTGAGCCAGGCAAATCTCCAATCTGCTGCTCAAGGGAGAACTCATCTGAAAAACGTGGAAAAATAGAGACGGTATGTAAAAGTAAATTCACTGTGTAAATTCCAGAGCACTTACAAGCCACAAGCCATATATGATTCTCTCCAAACGCAAGACTAAATGGCTGATCTTTTCCAAAGAAGACAAATGAAAAAGCCCTAAAAATAATACAATAAATTTAGCGTAAGTCAGATAGATTTTATTAATTTTTAATACATACTCTCCAAGGATTTTATGTGTATATGTGTGTCTTTGCATTATCCCAAAGGACACACTAATGAACATGCTAGGCAAATATCCATCATTATTTTATAATCTGCTTTACTGTAATTAATATACAAGTATTCTATTTTACATGATTCTTATACAAAGACATATGCATATACAGTAGATATTTTACTCCTTTTTGCTTTTTTATATACAAAACCTTCACTGCTTTTCAGGTTGAAGTGATCTTTTTCTTCATTAATTCCCAGCATCCTCAGACAGGACTCCACCACTTTTCCCACACTTGTCTCTTTGGGTGTCCTTAAATGAACTGTTCGATCTGAGGCTAAATCAAAATAACAGACAGATACAGGCATTTGTAAAACTTTAAAATTAATTTAAAAAATGATATGCTGAAATGTTACATGGAACAAAATCACATGGACAGAATTTTTACCATTGACTGTGATTTCAATAAGATGCGAGTTCTTGTGAAATCTTGCATTTTGTTCTTTCGGTCTGTGAGAGAGAACAGGGTACATATTCAGGTCAACCTGTAAATACTGTTATGAAAATGTCATTTTGGAAATGATTTGTGATTATGCAGTGTTTTACATTCTACATAAAAGGACGATCTACCTGAATTTGAATGAACATCGGTTCATGTTGATGCTGCCAACTTGAGGAGAAGATTTTGACTTGGTCATGGAAACCAAAGCTGCTGTGAATTTCTCAACATTGTGTGGACCAAATCTTTCTTTTGGGGGAAAGAAAACAAGTTCGGTACCAGAAGTCTGCAGACAAAGTACTTAGATGTGGACTCAAACAGTTCATGGTTGTATTATGGTACCAAGGAGGGAGTCGAGTCTTTGGGTGGTGGAGTTTGGCGGGTGTAATTCATGGTAAATGGCAGACAGCAGCCTCTCTCTCTCCTCCAGACTGGACACTTGAAGGATTTCGAGGGTGTTGAGATCAATAGAAGCGATGTGAGATCCACTGAACTCTGCCTCTGTAAGGTTTGATCCACCCAAAGCCACAACATTATTATTAACATCTCTTCAAACCGTTGCTTATGATAAATAACACTAATGGATCTCTAAAATAGCTCTTTATTGGTTTGAATATGTTACAAATAGGCCTTGCAAATCATTAGCTAGAAATGGTAAAAGTCTCTATGGTGTTGTATTAGCTAGTAAATGTTGCTTTTCCTCTCTTTTTAAGTTGATGCATGGAAATACATTTCAAGCTGATGCAATAACTTAAAAGTGCAAATGAGAAAGTAATACATAATCTGAACAGTTATTGGTTTGCGGCTATGCATTTGTCTCTTAGAATGTTTGGTGAATTTAAACATTTAAAAAGGGTGGGAATATGACAAAAACAAATGTGCAAACTGTACTTTACCTCGAATGAAGGGCAGGCATTTCTGAAGACCAATATTATTAAACCACTGGCAAACCTCCTCTGTGTTCAGCTCTGCTAAAGTTTTGGCTCTGTACCCATTAGAATCCCACTAAATACAGACAGATACAGTCAAATATACAAATGAAGTTCTCAACATGCATGCATGTATACACATAACTTGAAATACATTTTCATGAACATACCCCTGCACGTTCACAGAGAATTAATGCAATGAAAGATGTGTCCACACAAAAAATACCAATTTAGGACATTCCACCTTAAAAGACTTTGAGAGTTTTTTTAACCATGGAGAATTTTCTGCGCTCCTATGAAAGATTCAGCATGAGTGTACTTGTGTATACCCTACAGCTGTGGATGCTCTGACTGCACATCAAAATGAGGGGTATTCAACTTTCAAGTGTAAAACTGTATGTACTTTTACAAAATGGCTATACTTTTCCACTGCCTATGCTATTTTACTGACTCTGACATTTCAGAAGGTCAGTGGGGTTATAAAAATAAGTGTATGTTCAAAATTATGTAGGAAAAAAAGCCTGCTATGTTTATTGACTTGACTCAAATCCAAAAATCATGAGACATGCTCTGAGGCATCTTACATAATGTGAATGAACAAAACTGCATTATTATCAAAACCAAAACTACTTGAGAAACTGAAGCAGAAAATAAAAAAGAGAATATTTTTCACAGTCTTACACACAAAAAAAAATTGTGCCTTACCTTCACTACACTTTTTCCAGTATGGTCCTTGGACTGAGGAATGTACGATGCTGGGAAGAGGAAAAATAACAGGTCTAGCTGGTGGACCATCTTAGGAATCCTATTCACCAGCAAAGCTTGGTACTGGTTAAGCTATTTAAAGGGGTCACATGATGTTGCTAAAAAAAACATTATTTTGTGTATTTGGTGTAATGAAATGTGTTAATGTGGTTTAGGGTTAAAAAAAAACACATTATTTTCGACATACTGTACATTATTGTTTCTCCTCTATGCCCCGCCTTTCTGAAACGCGGCGATTTTTACAAAGCTCATCAGTCTGAAAAGCGAGGTGTGCTCTGATTGGCCAGCTATCCAGTGCGTTGTGATTGGCCGAATGCCTCAAGCGTGTGACGGAAATGTTACGCCCCTTACCATATTGTGATGCCCTGTCCGGCCAGAGCGACGAGACAAAACCAATAAAACCCATTATAAACGAGGCATTTGTTGCATCTAGTGGGGATGTAATTACGGATTATAATGACTTATACTGTCTTTTTATGCGTTGCGTTGCATCGCGCAGCGTAAACATAAAACCATGTCTGCATTTGTGATCGGAGAAATGACAAACAACAAGTGCTACTCTACATTGCTCAAAACTCACATTTGAATCGTCAGTGGCAAATCATTTAAATATGAAAACGTACTTACGGACTGTGAGTCAGAACAGCCGGCATTGAAGCTTCTTTCTTTGCGTGAACATTTGGGCGGCGTTATGCAAATCTTCCCACATCGTGACGTAGACATGTGGGGCGTGTTTAAACAAGGCATTTTAGGAGGGCGTGGACCAGTCTTAACTTTTCTTTGTAAAGGTAATGCTGAGTGATTTTACCTTTTGGTGTGTTAACATGCTTATCTTACTGCTCAGCGGTAGTAGCCTCAACTCTTCCTTTAGCAACTCATGGCTGCAGGCATCCTTGTTGCTCAGGTCATCTAAATGAGTAAAACAACACATCACCAAGATGTCAGCACATTTAGCAGATGTCCTCTGAGCTGATGGGAAAGAACTTTTGGATCCGGAGAAGCCCTAACTCTATCTGGGTCATTGAGTCCATCTCTGGGAAACAAAACAAGTAGAACTTCAAGCTAACATGGGAAAAATTGGTCCCAAACTCAAGTCTGGACAAACCAGAGCTCCATATTTGGTGTATTGTGCTCTGTGGAACACACTTGAAAGCTTGGTTGGAATTTGTGTCAAATTAATAATGTCAGCCGGAAACAGCTACTTAATGTCTGCATGCTAGTGCTAATACTTGAGCTAATAATGTTGAGGAAGGAATGAAAGCGTTTTCTTTTCACTATGATTGTTTTTACACAGGCTCTGTAGCATCAGTCATCCCTGATTTATCATGAGCCTTGTCTGCACACTCTGTAAATACATGCCAACACACAGCAAACCACACTGCGATACTGTGGGATGTTGCAAAACTAGGCTGACAGTGAAAAGGACAAGCCAGGGACTGTCTGGTCAGTGGCATACTTTAGTGACCAGTGACATGCTATGTTTTCCCACAGACAGCAGACATTCTAACATTCCCATAACCGCACTGCTTTCGGAACCCCCTCCCTTTCCTTCATAAAAAAAGCAGGAAAAACAAACAAGTCCTGGGAATTGACACACTGAAATGATGGTCTTAAGACCTGTCAAAAGTCCACTCTCTGATCCCTGTTGATTCTGCATAACAGGGAGCCGTATGTGTTGGGCATCAGTGCCAGGTTTGTACTGTACATTGCCTGAGGAATATTACTGGCTTATATAAATTTATTAGTTAAATATTAAGTGGAACATGGTGGAACGGTATATCATAGAGATCTGTTTTTTGGGCCTATAGATTCATCAGTTGTGCAATACATATTCTACACAACCAACACAAACTTAAAACATCACAGATAAACTGATCATTCACAACAATAACACCTCCCTCTCCGGATTTCCTTACTGGGAGACCTCAGACATTCGAGATATACAGTATAACTGGCAATAACTGGTCTGGCGCCATCATGCTGAGCACTGGAACCCCACGGGGCTGTTGTTGACTAATGACTCACGACTGTACTGCCAAACACAGTACAAACCGCATCATCAAGTTCAGGGATGACATCGTAGCAGTGGGCCTCATCAGCGACAACGATGAGTCAGAATGGAGCATCTAGTAGACTGCTGTGCAAACAACAATTTGTCTCTAAATGTTGACAAAACAAACTGACACTGCAATGACCACCTCCCATAGCACATCAATGGGTCTTCTGTAGAGACAGTCAGGATGGAGACGTTTCTGGGTCTGCACATCACGTACCACCTCACTAGCCAAAAAAGCACAGCAGCATCTCTTTGTGCGGTGACTGAACAGGGCAATCATCCCCCCACCCATTCTCACCACATTCTACAGAGAAACAATTGTAAGCATACTAACAACATGGTTTGGAAATTGCAATGATTCAGACCGCTAGGCCCTGCAATGCCTTGTAAAAACAGCTGAGAGAATTATTGGACGCTCACTCCCTCCCATATCAGACATTTGCCACAAACAGTGTGTGAACAGGACCTAGAGCATCACATAAGACCTCATCCGTCCCTCCAATGAACACTCTGACCCGTAAAAAGGCATACTAGATAGCCAACAGAGAGATTTGACAGACTTTACAACAGTTTTTTTTCCCTTAAAGCTCCTCAATGCCCTGACACTTACATAACATTGAATTAGCACATCTACAATGACACATTTTGACTATTTCAGCATCTATTTAATGTGGATAAGCAACAGCGGGTACACGTCAGCAGTGCGGATGCACTTCTCCATAACCAAAACATGATGCTAGAGAAGCAATATGTAAATTTGTTCTGCTGAAATATAAAGATGAGACCAGTTCATGCCATTTTTACTAATACCAGTCCTTTGCAATACAATTTTATTATTATAATTTCTGCTACTGTTACCAGCGCATTATTTGCATAGCATTGTCAAGGTCCCATTTGCATATGTTGTTGTTGCGCAATTATTCATCATCTACATTATGACCAAAACACATACAACTTAATAGACTGCCATTTAATATCCTTCATTTAGGATGTTGGTTAATCAGGGCCTATATCTGTTCATTGGAGAATTTTAAGATTTATTAATGTTCAATCATTTACCATTCAGCCATGATCCTTTGAAAACTTTTTTTTAATACTGCTGGCTTTCCAAAAGCAATAATACTGTGACGGTTGTTGAGCAAGGCAAATAGGGCTGACTGTGTGAATAAGTAGTAATTATTTGGCTAAAGTTAATTCAATTGTGGACAGTGGTGGGAAATGAGTTCTCTTAACATAAAATTACCATGTAAACTCAACTCAAACATCTCTTTTGTTGGAAACTGAATTAGGCAAAGCCCAATGAAATTAGACATATCGACCTCAACTGAATCTCTAACAGTTAAATACTAGCTAGCAATAGCATGCTAAATGCTAAACATTTTTTGTACTTTAAGTCATGCATGGTGATGACAGAAAGCACAACGAGGGGAAAATACAGTCAGCACTTACGAGGGTACACTTAAATACACTGAACAACCAGCAAAATAATTTTTCTGACTCCAGTGAAAAAGAAATTACAATGATTGTTGACTCAAGTCTTCACTGTCGTCTCTATAAGTTGCACTGCAAGCTTGGTAAAATGTATTTCATTTTATACTTTTGAAATGACAATAAATGTGACGACAAGCAAGAGGAAGGGAGAGTGACGTCCTTCTAGAGCAATTAAATTGTGAGATTAATTTGACCTTTAAACTGACATTCAGAATTGGTCCAACTTCCTTGACTAATTGTGTGAAACTGTCCAAACAAGATTATTATTATTTCTTCCTGCAAAACTTGCACTTAAGTTAAGCTCTATCAACTACATCTATTCAGATCGTAATTATGAAAAAATGAAACAGTGTCTCAGCTTGTTTAGTTCCTAGACAGAGCCAAAATGATCCAGCAAAGGACAGGAGGCTTTTTAGAAACTGGGCCACTTCACACGGTCTGTGTGCTGCAGTCGGCCCTCTGACAGCCTCTGGTCGTTCTAGACAGTGAACAGGAAGAGGATATGTGCAGAGACTGCCCCGAGACTGCAGGGAAAACTCAGTAAAGCCAAGGACTTAACACAGGTCAAGATCTGAGGGAACCAACATTGAGATCTCGCTGCAGGAGAATAACACACATATGTGCTGCAGTCCAACACATTCTCCACCCTGCAAACAGTCAGTAAATTGCTAAATGGATTAATGGAAAACCGCATGGCCGAGGGAGGTAGAGGTATAGATATTTGGAGGATCAGAGCGAGAGAGGCCTTTGAGATCGTGGGAAGTATCTAGGTCTTTCCGCCCTGCCAGCTGTTTCCACAGGGCCCTACTGTACTCTGGACCAGTGTGAAACACAGCACCAGAGAATACAGTTTCCTCTGAACCAAACTCACTGAACTTTCAGAAGAGTGAATTATGAAGAAACACATTTAAATGTTAATTGATTTAGGGCTGCACCGCAAAATGCACCTGTGTTGTCAGCATATGGTGTACCAATGGTGTAGTAAAACAACAACAACAACAGAAAAAAAGAATAACGAACATTGAGAAAGACTCATTCATAGAAGATCTGTGGCAACTTCTCCAAGATGTCTGGAACAACTGTGTCAAGGTTTCTAACTGGAATACAATGCTTGGGAACAGGTCACGTAAGCCCAGTATGGCTTCATGCTGGGGAATCTTGGGATAAATATATACAAAAGCCGCCCTTCGCAACAGCATAGACACCATTGTCCTAAACAGATTAGCCCTTGGTTACAGAACGTCGCCTCAGTAGGTGTCGTTTCTCTAGACCAGTGTTTCCCAACCGGGGTGCCGTCTGTCGAGAGCAGGGGTGCCGTGTAAAAAATGTTAAAATATTTTTTAAATTGCTAAAATGTTCAAAAAAGCATCTATTATATAATATCCATTTCTGATGTCACCAATAATTAGAGATGCACCGAAATTTCGGCTGCCGACAATTAGTTCACCGCTCAGGTTTCACTTTCACTTGGTGTGACGCTCTGTGTATTATCCCGCTCTATGCGTGTGCGCTCCGCTCAGTCGCTCCACTCATATACCGTTCACGCGAATCAGAAGAGCAAAGTCCACTCAAAAATTGAGCCGACAGGAAACATCGATGTAGGCCTAGTACAGTATTGTTTCTGTCTGCAATAGCCTTACTGTGTTGTAACATGGTGTGGTATAGCCTATGGGCAACTCTGGTAACGCTGCCCTCTCATTCATTGATCTGCTAACCGCTATGTTATGCTCGCGTGTTCTGATAATAATAGCTTTCTAGGACTAAACATTATTTGGATAATTGGATAATTGGATAGTTAAATATCTTAACTCTTAAACTAAAAAGCTATTTATTTAATTCAAAGGCCTGTCGTTATTTTTTATTTGTGCTATCATTATTAATTTCTTTATTTGTTCTTATTTTATTACTGACTGGTTACTTGTCATTTTTTATTCAATTCAAAGTTTGAAATCAAGCTATCTCGTGCTACTGCACCAAAATTACCATACTGTAAAATTAGAAAAACACTGAGTGAGCAAAGATTTGTGAGATAGCTAGTTATAATGGTAATTAAATAATGTTTACATATGTATAAAAGCCTACATTAAAATCTGTCATATAAATTGGTCTCTTCATTAGAAATTAGCCTACTGATTGCCACCATTGATGGACACATTTTTTAATAATATTAAAAATATCTGTATGACATTATATTCTGCAGTTCTTCCCTGTTGTACCGAATATCTATACTTTTCAAATTATCATATCGAAGTTAGAAATTCAAATATTGTGACAAAATTAATTTTGTAGGGTGCCACAAGTGCCACAAGTTTGTTAAAATTTCCAAAGGGTGCCGCGACCAAAAAGAGGTTGGGAAACACTG